GGACGCAAATGGCAAGTCTACGGAGTGAATCATGAGATTCACGACGTGAGTCTTATGACACTCACGATTTGAGTGTCATAAAAACTTACTAAAAATAGCATGAGAGCCATTCCGAAAATCTCACACCTTTCTTCATTTCTTCTCTCTAAACTTTCTCTCTCTAAGGGTTTTAACCCTCCCCTAAGCCTAGGTGATCCCCTAGCACCCTAAGGAAGCCCCGAGGCTCCCGGAGTCCAGAGAATAAGAGTCTTTCGGTTTCGAAACGCTGCTCCAAATAAAGTCCGGTTTTCTTTAAAATCCGTTGTAAGTGAGCTACGCTTACGCAATTTTTAATATAGCTTTCAAATAATTATAGTAATGTTATTAGGTCCTTAAACTAATTATTTGGGCTATTATTATGAGTTATATTGAGTATTATTTAACGCTTATATAATAATAATAATCGCTAGACTATTAATTAGTCATGGTTGACGTTAGACTAAACCCTAGTGGAATTGATACTAGATTTTATTGAAGGAAAATTGTTTTGAGAGTATTGAAGCGTTGTCTGAGTGCTGAGTCACCACCTACTTAAGTGAGTGTATAGTCACTTTCACCTTACACATATATATGAAGTATTTTCTTTTAAATACGTGCTATGTGTAAGTATACAGATTGTTTTAATTAAGGTGACTGTTGAATAGATGTTTTATACAAGTTTTAAACTGTATATGTATTTTTATCTACAAATATGTTGGGTAAAACATGGGTAGATGAATTAGATGATGTGTGATGAAATAAAAGGTGATGAGAGGTATCGATGTTTAAGATGATCTAGTCATCTAGCAGAGTATAGACAACGGCCACATACTATTTTAGATAGTCCAGTGGAACGTTAGCATACTTGTAATCGGTAGGTATGTTTGAACTATATGTTCATAAGGTGTTCTTGAACTATATGTTCATTAGGTGTTTTTGAACTATGTGTTCATCCGTTAGTTCTTTTTTATACTGTTACGTGTCGGGGTACGGGAGTGTACGGGAGTACTTTATTAGTATTTTCCCTATACCTTTATTTTGAAGAGATTTGGAGTCTTTGTTTCTTTTATAAAGTGATCTGACGAGCTTCATTAGTAAGTGTTTCCATTCTCGATTCCGGATAGGAGTGAGTCTGGGGTTATATACCTCACGATATTCAGACCACAGCCTAGGCATTAGTCAGCGTTTCCGTTGTTGGATAGGGTACATCTGGGGGTTATATACCTCATGATATTCAGACCATAGCCTAGGCATTAATAATTACCCCTGACTTAATTGTCTGGTGGTTCTTTCTTTTACGAACAAAGGTCCGTGGTTAAACTTATTCCATTCATTTGATGTCTTCTTCGATCCTCGTTTGCTGCTAGGGAATTTCCAAAGCAGTTTCATTAGTTGGTTGTTCATATCGATCCTTTAGGCTAGATCTAGTAAGATCACTGTATAGGATCAGTATGTGGGGATCAACGTTGTTAGTGCTTGTAATATTGTAACAGCCGGATTTTTCAGGTATCTTGTATATTTGTATTTTTGGTGATTTGAGAGGGGACTCGGCGAGTTGGAGCTCAGACTCGCCGAGTAGGGACGCGGATCTGGACGCGGGATCACGCCTGGACTCGGCGAGTCCAGGATATGGACTCGGCGAGTCAGCGCTGTGTAATGAAACCCTAATTTATCGGGTTTGAGACCTATTTAAAGGGCCTAATGGCCGTCATTTGTGCTCACCAGTCCCTTGAGTGAAACCCTAATCGAGTGTGAGAATTTGGAGCTAAGTAGGAGGCCATTATTGATCTTGGAGGTGTCATTGTTGCAAGGAAGAAGAAGAGATAGCCAAGGGAAAGCAAGAGGAGCCACTTCTGTGGGTTTGGAGTCTAGAGCATCACTATTTTGGTAATAAATTCGAGTTATCTTCTTCCTTGTTGTTGTTTATCTAGATTTAGGGTTTGTTGAACCCTTTTATGGCAAGATCTAGTGTCCTCTTGGTCCCTTATGAGGTTTGAACCATAGATCTGGACCCTTAGAGGTCCAGAGTGTCCCTTTACCCAAGCTTTTTGGGAATCAATGGAGGCTTTGGATTGGAATCCTCATGCCTTAGGTCAAAACTCCATTTATGAGCCATGGGTTGTGTTATGGGCACCAAGATAGGAGCTTTACGTGATGAATCAGTCTAGGGAGGTCAGATCTATAGATTGTGGAAGCAGATCTGACCTTAGAAGCAAGTTGGAGTGGTTGCATGGCATGGACTCGCCGAGTCTGTTCATCAGACTCGGCGAGTAATTTGAAGATTGCCTTGGGATTGCTTAGTGAGTGGTCCAATCGAGTCATGGGTAGACTCAGTGAGTCAGGGTGAGTTGGAGAGGGATGACGAGTGGACTGAGTCAAAGTGGGACTCACCAAGTTGTTCTTGAGACTCGGCGAGTTGAGTCGGGGTGGCCCCGCGATTCTTTCAGGTGAAACTCGTTGAGTAAGGGGGGGATACTCGACGTGTAGTAAGGAGATTTCAGAGGGTTGGTGAAAACGTCTAGACTCGCCGAGTCGCCGTAGCACTCGCCGAGTCCGGTCAAAGTTGATCGTTGACCGTTGACCGTTGACCAGAGTTGACCTGTGTTGACTTCTTAGGGATAGTTAACCTTAGAGATATAAAGTGTTAGTTAGAGACATATAATGTTATAGGAGGATTAGAGCTCGGAGGATCGAGCACGAGGGATTTCCAGGATTCGTGAGATACCGAGATACGCGAGGTGAGTCTTCTCACTATACTATTACCTTGAGTAGGTAACCAGAGTTATGTGATAGAGTATTTGTATGCTATGTATGTTATGTGTTGTACTGCATTATTTCTATGTGATTTATGTGGTGCATGTTTATCAGAGCTAGAACTTGAGGGTTCACAGAGTTTGGGTGCACGGACCCACAGAGTTATAGCCTCGAGTGTCTAATATGTGTTATATGAGGTATTTTGGGGAACTCACTAAGCTTTGTGCTTACAGTGTTTGATGTTATTGTTTCAGGTACTAGTGACGACCGCGGGAAGGCGTCGGCTTGATCCGTACACACACACTCGGAGTTTTTACATTATGATCTTGGAATTTTGTATTGACCTATATTGGATAATTAATATGGTTGTTTGATGAATATTAATCGAATTATGTTTTATAAGAAAATTGAAAATTTTGTTTTGAAATTTACGGTGTTACAAATATCAACCTTGGGCAGCGATGGACTTCGTGCCTATTCCTTAGGATGAATCCTTAGTAATGAGTGATAGTTGATTCTCAGGGTAAATCCTTAAGAAATGAATAAGATAATGGGGATTGGGTTATTGGGTTGATTGTTTGATGTTTAAGCATAATAAATTTATTTATTGTGGGGTAAAAACCCTATATGTTTACCAGGCTCCAAGGCCTGACCCACTTAGTTTAACTGTATCACAGGTATCGATACGAATTTGCTTTACACAGAGAGATTAAAAAGATATAGATCACTATTGAAATAAATGTAAGTTCTGTTTATGCTTATGTTTCTGTATTGACGATGACATCCCAAATGTTTTAAAATGAATAAAATACGTTTCTTCGATTTATCGTGTTTTTCTAGAAATAAATTCCACAACATTTTTTATTAAAAGAGGTACTCTGATTTTCATAAAGCATAAACAAAATCGGTCTTTTCTAGCCGTGAAATTGGGGATGTCACACAAATACACTCATCTACTAATTAAACTCTATATTTATGATTAATTAGTATAAATTAGTATATAACATGATATTATAAATATTAAATATTGCATTTAAATTATAATTAATAGATAAAATAAATACAAATATATGAAACAAAAATGAGATGGACTAAAATTAGCAACCAAACTTCACCTCCATTTTTGGAGATAAAAATAGTATTCCCCCATATATGAGGGAATACGATTCATATCTTCAAAAATGGAGGTGAAAATGAGTAGAGTTGGAGAAAACTGGTGGAAGATATGGAGTTTGGGGGTGAGTTGGAAATGCCCTAAAGGGTAAAAGACATAAAATGGTAAAAAAAAAAATCATTTGTTAAATTAAAAAAAAAAAAAAAAAAAAAAAAAGGAAGGTAGGATCAGATCTCGATCCTACCCGAGCCTTTTACAATTCGGATCATGTTTCATACCTACGATCGTGATTTTGACAACCATGATTATATTGATTCGTCTCTATACACTAAACTGAGTTGTCTAAAGCCTATCTTGGACTTGGGCCACAAACTGCGTCTAAAATTTGTCCCATATACATATATAAATTGATTCGAATTATTTTACTCAAAGAAAATGTATATATATCGTTTTAGATAATAAAATATAAGAAGAAAATGTATTTATGAGGTATTACATTACCTCTAAAACATTACTTAGAGTTATTGTCACTATAACCCAACAAACTTTAGTATATTGGTTTACATGGTCCCTCATAATTATTTTTTGCATTTGAAGGGTACGAACTTATGTTTTATTTATTAATAAAAGGATAGACCACATTTTAAGCAGGTTTTACCGGTTACAATAAGTTTACTTGGCTTTTTATTTTTCTTTTTAAAACCTTGTGGGCCGAGATTTTTCTTTGTTATACTTTTGTTGACTTCTCGCTACCTAAATGAAGAATGGTCACCGATAAAGTGATGTTTATCTTCATAGTGTTCGCTTCATTGTGCTTCTTCATCGTATTCCCCCTCCGGCTATTTTTTGGTGACTAATATTGTAACAGTAAACGCTTACTATCCCGCTCACTCTCTAAAAACCATCGTCTAGTCTCCGACGATAGCAATATCCGAAGACCCATCGACAATGGCCGCATAAAATTCTCATAGAACCACGACCACTACCAGTCAACGTTTGTGAATCGGTGGTGATCGATGGTGATCGGTGATGAAGACACTTGAGTGGATTTGACGGAAGCGGTGGTTTCTTATCGACCGAGGCTACTTTTCTCTCAGTCAACATTTGTCAATCGATGGTGATTGGCGATGAAGACATAGGACTTTCAGCAGGTTTTGATGGCAAAGGTTGTTAAATGGAACGATTTGCCTCTTAATCATTTGAAGTTTTTCTTAATCTCATTGATTGGATTGTCATCATTCTTCTCAATTTTATTGATTTTCACGACGTCGAAATTGTTTTGCTTGAGTCGTCATCGATCCTCTCAATTTTCTGGATATTTTGGATATTCTCGATTTTGTCATCACATACCGGTGATGAACTTTGAGAATTGTTCGGAGTTTCTAATGTTGAATCGTTTCCATGAATCATCTTCTTTTGTCCGATAATAATGTCATCGATGACTTGATGTTATAATAGCTTAAAAAATCGTCCAAGGAAAAGAAACCCCCCTTTCTAATCAATCCATGACTTGCTTTTACGATTGTTAATGTTTCAGTGTTCATGAGTGAATTTCAATTTCCTTGGGGTAGATACAAGGGTTCTGTGCCGATGGCTCTTAGAGGTAATGAGCAGTCAGCGTCATATGGTAAGCTGGATGGCTCTTAGAGGTAATGAGCAGTCAGCATCATATGGTAAGCTGGTGTCCATCGGAGATCTAAATCCGAATGTAAACAAGAAACTAAGTGCAGTTGCTGATATTCTTAGCTCCAAGCTCCCTATTCCCAAATCACGATTCTTCCTCAAAATTTTCAACTCAAAGGTAACCTATACAACTCAAAGGCACCCCATTACTTATATCAAATTTTAGAAAAATATAATATTTTTAAATGTATACAAAAATAGCATAATACTTTATAAAGCCAAGACAAATCCAATTGGAGTTTTCAAAAACCAATACATATTCAACTTAAAAGAAGCTGCAGTTAGCTAACTTAACATTAAAATGTTAAACTAGTTTCAAAGCCAAGATAAACTTCCCAACAACTGTTGCATGAAATGCAAAAGTGAATATTTTGGACCACTTTAAACCCCAAGATTCAACACAATTTTTCCAACTCAAAACAAGTAAAAAAACCAACAAAAAATATTCCAAAAGCATTCAAAACTTCCTACAAAAGAGTTATTATCAAGATAACAAAAGTACTCATAATAAAACTCATAACATTTTTCAAGCTTTTCATTCTTCATCATCCTCATCAGCATCTCCACCAGAAGCCTTCTTTGCAGCCGCCTTCTGGTTCTTCCTCTTCACTCTTCCAGGTCTCCCACCTCCAAATGGACTCGTCAATGAAAAGTCAATATGCTTCTGTGAGTCAACTCTCACCATGAAAGAAGGCACATTCACAACTTGCCTTCCCACCCTACAAAAACAAACCTCCAAATCATCATTAAAAACTTCAAAAAAGAACTCTTCAACAATATATAAAAACTATGATCATTATATACATACCTTATGTGTCTTTGCTTGATGAGGACTCTAGCATGGTGGATTGACTTTGCCATACCAGTCTTGAACACAAGTGTCTGAAGGCGACGTTCAAGGAAGTTTTCAACAGTTAACGCAAGAACATAATCGAGCTTGTTTTGACTCTCGTCTAAGAGTCCGTATCTGTTCATCCTTCTCATTAGAGCTTCACCTTCGAAGATCCTACGTGGGTCTTTTTCTTCGAGGGTTAGAAGCATTCTTGCAGCGTTACGGATTCTGCTAAGTGCGTATTGCACCCTCCATAGCTCCCTTTTGCATCTCAAACCATACTCTCCTACTAGCTTCAACTCAGCATCTAATCGTTCCTTCTCATAAGGGCGACGTGGCTTCTTGAAGGTTTTTCCATCTGAAATAGATTTTGATATTAGGTTGTGATGAGTTTGATTTTGCTTGAATGATAACTAATGCATTCAGAGCATAGAAACAGCTGAATGAAACCTCATAAACATTGTCGATTTTGTATGAAAGAACAGAAACAGTTCCTAAGATGTCGAAAAATCAAACCATTCGGGTAAGATTTAGAGCTTTGATTGATGTGAGAATGATGCATACAGACTAATAGAAAGTCCGAAATCGTGAATAAGCATACATCAATGAACAATAGATTATAGATCCATTGGCAAATTACTGAATCAGACATCAATTCAACTGTAACACTCAATCATATGACTTAATCGACATACATTTTCGTTCTAAGAAATGATTCTAAGCATCTGGATATCGAATTGAACATGAGAAATGGGTTCTGATGACTTAAAACCTAAAACGAACAGATGAAAGGATAGAATAAAATGATGGATGTATAGAATCCATATATTTAAGAGAAGGAGATCAACTTACAGTTGCGGTAGAAAGAGACGTGAACCATGGTTGTTCAACGTCGATACGGCGGCTACTTGGTTGATGTTCTCCTCGCTACCGGCGGCCTCCTCCCTTAGCGCTGCTTCTTACGTGAAAGGTCGTAATGAAACCCTAATGGGAATATATAACATTAGGTATGGAGGCTAAAGCGTTAATGAACTTGAACTTGGGTCATATGTGGACTAAGTGGGTTACGCCTTGGGCCTTGGGCCTTGGGCCTTGGTTAATGGGATTCTAGTTTAGGAATGATAAGAAAAACAAGGTTTGAATAAATAGACAATAAGGAAAAGGGTCCATCATTATATTTTCACAAATTTCAATTGGACGTTGCCAAAACTACAAATATCGTCGTATTTATGTTATTTTCAAGATACGCCGGGCAATGTATTTTTGAAAGTTTTTAGGAGTTTTAAATTTTAAACAAAAAGGTTATAATTACATTACAATAAGTTCATTGTCATCTTAATTTGCCTTTTTTTTTTTTCACAGTTTGCCCTTTTGTTTACTAAACCAGTTTCCCATTTATTTTCGTAAATTTCGATCTTTAAATTAATTAATTAATCAATCTTTCCTTTTTTTAGTTCACATCACCTCCTACTACTGTCAATTGGAATGAATCGACCCTTAAAATAAATTAGTTAAAAGAATTAAATAATAAGAAGTCATTCTTACGGAAATATACAAGTATCATTTAAATAAAACAAAAGAGCACTTTTGATATCAACCGACCAACCTTCACCATTACATGTTAGTTAGGGAAGATGATATCCAATCTACCGAATTACATAACCCACCATTACTCTTACTTTTCAACCAATAGAATGTTAATGAGATGATTTGCTCTTCCATATTGGCTGGTTTGGTGAATACCTATGAGAAGAGCCTAATGGTTTCGATATTTTCATAGTTTCACATGAGTCCATAACAAATAAGAACGAGTATTTTCCTCGATCTAGTGCTTTGTCCTCAATTATTTGCCAAGTTTGTTAGCTCATTCACATTGTTGACTGAGATGTTGGCAATACCACGCCACTCGGATATCTTCTTCCTCGCCTCTACAGCAAACAAACATCTCACCAGTATATGTTTCGTTTCTTCTTCATTGCCTATACACGAACCACATTCAGTTGTATTGATGCCAACGTCTGTAGTTCTTAAGGCATCTAATGTAGGAATTCTTGTCTAAATGACTCTCCATATGAAACACAATACTTTGAAGGGTACTTCTTTACACCACATGATTTGCAAGATGTATAGACTTACAAGGGTGATATTGTTAATTTAACTCCTTAATACCTGAACAATATAGTTCCCATTGGCGGTTGAGCATCTCCAATAATCAGGACCATGAATTAGGCGGATATGTTAGATGCATCTACGAAAATCAAGTAATTCAAGGGACAATCCTACATCTTTCGGACAATGTGACCAATCACCTATAAACTCCTCGTCATGAAATCTGGTTGCCACTGTACATCTTTTTCTAGAATTGAATTCATATAATGATGGGAGTTTAGTTTTATAAGGTATATCATCAATCCACTTGCCATGCCTCGAGAGTTTTCACCTGATTGAACCAACAGTTTGAATACATCACTTACAGTAATTCCATGTTTCATGAGATCTTTTTTGTGTTCTCTATGGTTTGCTATACACCAGTTATAGACTTGTTCATGAGGTAACCATGTGGTTTTGTGTGTAGATTATGAATCCATGTGATGACTCAGCACCACAGAGATGATGTTTCCCTTTTCAATCACCACCACCGTTTTACTATTTGACCAATGTTTAGTGCACGAATTGATCTGATACCGAGTCCGCTAACTGATTTGGGTGTCACCACTTTTCCCATACAACCTAATGAATCGTCTTCTTTTTGTTGTGTCCTCCATAAGAAACATCTACTTATTTTTTTACAGGTTCTCCAATATCCCACTAGGCGCCTTGGACAGTGAGATATGATAAGATGGAAGATTTCCCTGACTTTATAAGTGTTAGACGACCACCAAAAGATAACATTTTGGATATCTCGGCGAATAGCTTAGATTGGAATTTATCTAGGATCGGCTTCCAAATTGTAACACACTGTTTGGTAAATAAATAAATAGATTGATTAATATGAATTGTGGTCATAAAATCCATAATATTTAGTGGGGTGTTGGTTTTAGGGAGTCAAATGTTATAAATTGGATTATTTGGGGGGTCAAAGTATAAATTCGGGATTTATTTGAAAAGATTTTTGAAAGCTAGGATCTAAGGGGTAAATATCAGATTTAATTTGAAGGAGATTTCTAAAGCCATGGTAGAAAGGGTAAATGTTGGATTAAATTTGAAAAGATCCTATAGGGAGGGACCAGAATTGTAATTATGGAAAGGATGTGGACAAGGTATATAATCAATGGCTTCTTAGTCCAAACCCTAACCCTAAAAGATGGTTACAGTCGCAGCCACCTTATATCCCCTAACCACCGGCCGCCACCCACAGCCTCCCCAGTCGGTCGCCGCCGTAGCTTTCTAGCCAGTATCAAAGTCGCAAGCCACTGATTCCCTTTTGCATTCCGACCAGACGAGTTCCGAGTGAAGCCAATATGGTTAAAGACGACGTCAGGACTATATGTTGCCATTCTCGAATGCGACTTCGCGCTCTTCTACAGTTGTAACGTCATCGTCGCTGCATTTTCGGGCAGCTGTAGCGGGTGACGTCCCCCTCCGACTGCCTTATACCGCCACGAGGTGGCTGTCAATGCAAACCGTCCTTGTTTCCACGAGATTTTTTATGGTGGCTGTGTTGGTGCGTGTTTCAGTGGGTTTTATGCAGATGTGTGTCTGTGTGTGTGTGTGTTGTTGTTGTTGTTGCATTTTAAAGTTAGGTGTATATTCTATGTTGGCCGAAAGACGTGGGAAACCACCATGGCAGCCCACCATGGTGGCCATTACCTTGCTGTCACCATACGTATTATCGACTTCTACCACCTAGGCGATGGTTGTGTGGGTGAATGTTCGAGTGTACAAGCTGTTTTTGGCATTCGTGGGGTTGTATGCGCGTCTTTGGGCGGAAAACCCACCGCCACCACTGTGAGGTGGTGGCTGCCGCCATGTCCCACCGTCGGCCACCACTAGGGTGGTTGTGTGTGTGTGTGTGTTTATGTTAGTTAATGTGTGTTTATTTTTGGATTAAAGCATTGTAATTGTAATTAGCAAAAGAATAATGAAAAGAAACTCAAAAACCACCACCATAAGGTGGTGGCCGCCGTCGTGAGCCGCCATCGACTACCACTACCCGAGGTGGTAGTGGGTGGTGCCCGACTAGCAAAACCCTAACTAACCTTATGAAACCCTAATGGGCCTAAGGAAGCCCAGTTGACCTAAGGACTTAGTTTTGGGGCACTGGAATGGAATTGTGAATTACACCCAATCAAGCATATGATTTATCTACTAGAGTGATGGACTTACTGGATTAAGTCTTTAATAGGTGAAGTGAGAAACACTTAACCCTAATTGTCATTTTATGTGAAACCCTAGTTTCACTTGGGCCTTAAGTTGGGCCTTTATATTAGGCTTTGGTGATTGGGCCAATAATGGGCCATTCAAGAACAATCATATGGACTAGAATAATTTAATGGACTTTAGGGTAAGGCCCATTTAAGGGGTTTGGGCCCAATTTTCCAAATTGGGCCATTGATGGGACATAATTTGGGCCTTGATGATTATGAGATATTAGACCATTTTTAATGCCAAATTTTTGGACTAGACTAAATGGTTGGGCCTTAGAGGAAGACTAAGTAAAGGTTGGGCCCAATTTGGAAAATTGGGCCATATGTTGGGCTTTGATTCATAGTTTGACCTTTGGGCCTTTGGATTTGGCCTATAGCTTGAATCAAGCTAAGATGGGGGTAAAGTAGTCTTTTACCACAAGCATGTACTTATTGATATACGTGGAAACCCAATTACTGATTGGGTGTTAGATGATTGACAATTTGAGGACCTGTTATCCAACAGCTAGAGTTTTGTCTACGAGACTTCAGCAGTGTGAGGTGAGTTACCTGCCAATAGAAGTGTTGGATTAGTGTCTAAGTCCATAACTATTTTGGTATGTACTTGACCCGATGGTGCATGGTCCTTTTGGGTTGCCTTCACCAAAGCAACTTGATTGGAGAAATGAATAAAGAGAGAGAGGATAATATGATTTATTAATATGTTATAAGAATAATATATTAAAGGAGAAATCATATTTGTTTAATTAATATTGGTCAATAATTAATTAAGAATTAGTTTTGTGATCAAATGTAAGTAATTAAACTAGAGGGGCTGATTTGTAAATATGTGATAGTTACAAAATAAGGTAAGGATTATCTTATTTATATGGTGGACAAATTTAAGGTTGGAAAGCCTTAGAATTCGAGTATGATAAGGATTCAAGGATTATCTTATTGGTTGCTTAATGGATAATCAACTAGATAAGGATAATGACTGAAACCCTATCTCTACACCTATATAAACACCCCTAGGGTCATGAATTCGTGTATCCCTTCCCAAGAGGTCCTAGATACGAATTCTAACCTCTCACCTCTCTCTTTATACCTTCTCCATTTGCTTATGGTGTTTGTAAGCCATTAGAGGAGTGACACTTGTGACTCTAAGCCTTCCAAAGTCATTACAAGGAGATTTGGGATTGTTATTGCTACATAACAATCAAGGTATGATCTTAAACCTAATTACATATTAATATGATTACTTGAATGCTAGAATTAGGGTTTATAGTCTTGGATTCAAAGCATGTACAATAGAGAAACCTAGATCCAAGCATTAGGGTTTGTATGAGCACATAGGATGTCTTATGACCAAAACCCATCAGTGGTATCAGAGCCTAGCTTGGTTTCAATTGTATTGATGCATTGTATAACTGGAAAATCATTTTTTGGGCTTTATGGCTGAGGAACTCGGCGAGTACCACAGTGTACTCGGCGAGTACAGTGTGGTACTCGGCGAGTTCGAGCGTCAGATAATGCTTATCTCGGGATTTCTTGCTGTTTTTGCATTTGGATAGTTACCTTATCATGTTAGATCAATATAAATCCGATTTTATGATATATATGACTATATTCTTGATCTAATTAAAGATAATTATCAATTAACAAGATAATTGTTTCCTTATAAGATAATTGATTAATTATTTTGAGTAAATTGATAAATTGTTTTGCAAGAAATCATTAAATAAATCAAATATGG